GCCTGGGCCCATATTTATACAATATCTTCACTAGCGACATCCCAAAACCGAAGAGGGGCTTTATCGGCACTTTTGCAGATGATACTGCCTTAGCAGAAAGAGACAAAGACATATTTATCTCTAATCATAGATTACAAAAAGCTATCGATGAAATGGTTGAGTGGGTTTCTGACAATGGCGCCACGCTCAACGCATGTAAATCTGCTCATACTGTTTTTACAAATAGGAAAATACCACAATTACCAGTTCTCATAGAAGATGAACAAGTTCCTTACGTTACAAGCGCTAGATATTTAGGAGTTTATTTAGACTCTAGACTTACTTTTAAAGATCACATCAGAATCAAGGTGAAAGAATTAAATAAAAAGTATAAAAAAATGTATTGGTTGTTAGGCAAAAGATCAAAATTGTCAAAGAAAAACAAAATTTTGCTGTATAATCAAATATTAAAACCTATATGGCAGTATGCTTCACAACTATGGGGTTGTGCAAGCAAATCTAATATAAATAAGGTAGAAAGATTCCAGTCGAAGGTTCTACGAGAAATTATTGGAGTACCATGGTTCGTAAGGAACGAAGACATAAGGAGAGAATTAGAGGTACCCACGGTTAGACAAGTAATTGCTGAGACAACGAAGAGATATGAATGTCGTATTGAAAAGCATATCAATGTAGAGGCTTTAAACCTTTTAGATAGTACAATACCTGTGAAAAGGTTAAAAAGGTGGGAGACCTTTGAACTCCCATCAAGATTTAAGTAGTCTGTAAGGTATGAGTGAGAGTGTGAATGGAGTGTGAATGAGGGTGAAAGGAAGAATGCAAAACCATTAAACTAAAAACCTTTATGTTATAATACATTTAAGAAAGAAGGCAGAGAATTTACAATTCCTGTTCTTTTAGATAATCATAGTATTATCTAACGTTAACATATAAAATTAATGCAGTTTGTTAAGTTTTAGTTTTAAGCCACGTAGATAGATACAAGAAACACTTGTAGTAGTTACGATATATTTAAATAAAATTTCTTTAAAAAAAAAAAAAAAAAAAAAAAAGCTTTGTCTATCAATTTCAAAAATCAGCCCGCAGCTGTCCGAGACGGAAAACTGCCGATTTCAAATTGTTGCGCTGCCTCTGTCGCCCTCCTCCCACTTTTCCGTCAACGGGGGACGGCGCCCCCTCCCTCCGGGGGGAATTTCCGCACGATTTGTCTACGCGGCGACGAGTGCAAGGACCGCGCCTCGGGGAAGATTTTGCAGCCGACTTCCCTTCACTTAGAGCAGCACACACTGGATATTAAGATTAACACACAGTCTCCCACCCTGGATTCTCTGAAACCTTGATTCGGAGTTTATTTAATATTTATTCAGTTCATGAGCGCCGTGTCGAGCTCCAGCCCCGGCGCTGCCAGTTAAGTCCACCCGTGCCCCTCGCAGAGCCGCCCTCCCCCCCAATCCGTCCTCGACCCCCGAAAGTTCGGGTGGGTCCATTTCACGAGTTTGTATAACGCTGGACAATCGTTCATTTTTTTCGAGAGAGGGTATTTCAGGATGGAGATTTTCCACGAAAGTCAACCGGCAACACTGCTTTATGTTGCGACGCAACTGTCAAGTGATGAAACGGCGATCCCCCCGCCCCTCCCTCCCCCGTTTCCTTTGGTGTTTTTTCTTTGCCTTTTCTGACTTTTATCGGGTGTTCAATGCGTTATCGATGCTCTTGTTACGTCACTGGTTCTGTAAGCCTGCATTTCTCGAGGGACGCGCATGTAGCGCACTGAGCTTGGGCATGGACAGGAGAGATATAGTTCGTCTGTACTCGCCAAGGCTCGGATGTTAATCCGTGGCAATAATTTTGACACATGCGCCTCTGTAATGGTGGCATTGCTGCGGGTGGCAGATCTCTTTAAAATGGACTGCATCTTGCAACTAGGAATTACGATTTCTGGCTCATTTTAGAAACGGCATAAGTTCCGTAAGTTTCCTGGGCAGATAGTTGCTTTTATGGATTAACCTGAAATTGTAGTTCCTAATTGCCAAATGCAGTCCAATGATGGAATCACAGTCGTGACGTCACCAGAGAGATGATCCGAAACGTCCGAACTCTGAGCTGACAGTTTGTGTACTATTACTGCCCGCAACAATGGCTCAACCGGAGCTTTTTTTAGGAAAGAGATTTTTCATTAGGAGCGATAAGATTCATTGATTTTTTTCATATATAATCGTGCAAATAGCAGAATATGAAAAGTGCATGCTCAAAAATCGACCTCGAAAAATTAACCATTTTATTAAAAAATAATTTGGGGTATGAGGGCCCCGCATGCCAGGGGGCCACAACCTTAGATAGCCAGGGTGTGTGCAAGTCCGGAAATAGTACTGAATTTTTAAGGGCGGTCCGGAAGTGCTGGAAAAAACGGAATTCCGCAAGAAGGTCCAGAATTTTTTCATTTTTTGTCATTTTTGTCGCAATTCGAGCGGGAAATTCAAATTGTTGAAATTTGCCGAATTTCGCCAATTGGAGGTACTGAAAAAGTACTGAATTTTCTGTTGCGGTGGTACTGAATTTCTTGGGAATGTACTGAAATAGAACTGTAAAAGTACTGATTTTTGGCGAGCCTATTTTAGTAGACAACCCCGATGGCCCATCGCTCTGGACCAACGGGACAGTCTGTCGAGGGGATCAAGTTGCGCGTCTTTTCCGTCGGACAGAGGCACATGTTTCGGTTTTCAAATTTTGTATCTATTTTTTGTGGACGCTTTTGGTTTTTTTTTTTGAAATGGGAGCCGGGTTTCGGGTGGACGAGTATTCGTAATGGGTTGCCGCCGCGCCGCCAGGTCTATCGCCATTAAATCTCGTCAATAACCTCGCGCGCATGTTGACCAATTGTTGACGCAATCGCACTACAAAGATGTTTCAACGGCGTTGCCAAATAGAGTTGCGCCAGCCGGATGATGTCAGCGCCCCCCCCCCCTCCCACCGCGCGACGCTCTACTCCCGCGCGGCCTCTGCCTCTGCCTCGTGCTTATGGCTTTTTCGAGGCTTCTCCGTGAGGTTCCCGGCTCAATGCCACCCTGCGGCCCGGCTCGGAGTCTCCCGCCATGGCGAGCTCGTGTATTGGTCAATTTCGGGACCGCCTCGTTGTGAGCACGGCTAGAACCTGCGAGGAGATGAGTAGCATCGTTTCCGCGTTTCTGGCAAGGCGGCGTTTCATCCAAATTCTAGAGGCCAGAGGAAGAAAGGGCAACGTCTACTGGCCCTGGTAAAAATTGACAGTAGAATCTGTGTTCCAAAATACCATAGACCTACAGCCGGCTGCAAGATTTCCAATAGCTTCTATAGCCGGCTACACAATTTCTTATAGCCTTTTATAGCCGATGGCGATTAAGCAACAGCCAGGCGATTAAGCATCAGCCAGGCGATAAAGTGTATGCTAAACGTTACTAATTACGGATGCTAGAACACAGTGAGTTTTTGGAATACTGCTCTCTTTTTGGGCCGTAGTATCTTGATTTATTTTGCGAGGAAAGCTCCGTACTTTTGATGGATGCTTGCCATTCCTAATATATTGGAGCGCCTTCAGTTTCGTATGATACTGTGCAATACCTCTGGTGTGAAATAGTTGCTTCAAGCCCCGGGTCAGGCGGGCAGCCAGCGCGAAACACGCATTGGCGCCTACAAACCTAACAGGGATACTTCACGCGTTGCGCAATGCGTTCGAAGTATCCTTGGTAGGTTTGTAGGCGCCAGTGCGTCGCCGCTCCGCTTTGTGTTAGGCTCTAATATTTAATCTGGCGGAGTCAGCGTTATTCAACTCATGATTTTGAAATGTTTGCACATCCTGTATGGATTATTCTCATTGTAATTGATGAAAATAAATATGTATTGAAGGAAAATATAATGTGTGTTTTGTAAATATTAAGGTGGTTCCGTATCAAACTTAATGATTTCCAAAGCACACGAATTTCTACACAATTTCTTATAGCCTTTTATAATCGATGGCGATAAAGTGTAAAGCTCGGCTGTAGGAACTATAGCCCGACTGCATAATTTTTCATCGCTTCGTATAGCCCGGCCGTATGATTTTCTTCGCATTCTACAGCCAGCTGTATGATTTTCTGTAGCCTTCTTTAGCCAGTTATAAAAATTCCTATGGTATTTTGAAACGCAGCTCTTATCGCCGATTTTTACCAGGGGGATGGAGGGGGGGTGGGCGCAATATCTACTGGATTG